CAGGAAAGCATGCACCACAAAACAGTCAAATGAGGACAAAACACACTCAGTACCCACAACACTGAGTGTTGAGTGGGGTGATGCAGTTATATGGAATCCTGGGGGTCGTAGGCTGGGGAAGCACCAGCATTTTGGGCAGGGAAAGCTAAAGATCTGGTTAAACAACAACTCTTAAGGTTGGCGCTGCATCGCCATAATTTTGTAGTATTGAGCCACAACCGTTAAATCAGTGTCAAACCGCATTAATTCAAAAATATAGAAGCTTTAAAAAACTGCACTTTATCAATTTAATTTGAGATTTACATTGTTTTAATGCTATGGGTAGCTTAATTCTATTTAAATATTCACTTTATATGTGTTTTAGTTGTATGGTTCTTTTAAACTGTAAACTCCTTTATGCTTTTTGAGAAAAGCGGGATATCAATAACAGTCATAGAAATGAAAGCTGCCGCAAATAATCAAAGGAAACTCTTATGTGAAGCCTTGTAATCATATGCAGATTTCCGCTGAATAGAAATTGACAGTTCACAGGAAGGAAGTGAATTATCCCTGTTAGCAATTTGCATACTCTAGCTCTGGCAGTTCATTACAAGTTGGAAGTAGGTCACACACCCAGAAAATGTTTATCCTTTTGTTCACCTTTAATACTGTATAATGGCGGAACACATGCTAATTTCTTGCATTGTAGTACTTTCCGGCCACACTTCTGTCTCTTTCTGCACAGGCAGCAAGGTTGGCTCAAAATACTGCTGCATGAAATAAGGAAAGAAATTGCAGCCTCTCTGTCATTCCATACATAAAAGCTGAATGGATGGACTTTGGTATCTCCTTAAATGTTTTTATTGTATTCTGCAGAAGAGAAATTGCCCACAACAGAGTATAGAAATATCAAATTGTTTTTTAGAGTGCAGCTCCCAGAATATTTCAGCAACCACGAGAGATTCCAAAACAAAATATGTTTCCCTAGGCCCCGTCTATACTGCCATATACTTCAGATTATCAAAGCAAATAATCCACATCTGCTTTGAACTGGATTATGTGAAACTACACTGCCATATAATCCAGTTCAAATTAGATAATCTGGATTTTATATAGCAGTGTGGAAGGGGGCCTAGTCTCTGGTTCTGGGTCCTTGCTATCCATCTGTAGACTCATCCAGTTTCAAGCAGGTAATCTTAATTTTCTGTTTTGATGATCTGTATTCGAACTGGATTGTATGGCAATGTAGACTCATATAATCCAGTTCAAAGCAGATAATCTGGGGGCCCTTCCACAAAGTGGTATAAAATCCACATAGAATTGGATTATATGGCAGTGTGGACTCAGATAATCCAGTTCAAAGCAGATATTGTGGATTATCTGCCTTGATATTCTGGGTTATATGGCTGTGTGGAGGGGCCCTGGGTTGTCTGATTTGATAATCGGGATTATATGGCAGTGGAGAAGGGGCCTTAAAATGAAGTATTCCTGTTCATAACACACCTAGTATACAACTCTCAGCAGAATTCAATTGAGATGTTAGGGTGGGATACGGGCATTTCTAGTTCTCTGGTCTTCTGTCACTCTCTTCTTAGGAGGTTCTGTGGTGGAATCTTTGCAAAAAGATGAAGACTTTGCAAAATATTTTTTCTCCCCAAGAAAGCTTGGCTGACATTTCTATCCTTAGAATATTTAATATGCATATTGCCTTGGAAATTCCAGTCACAAAAATCCACTATCAAACTCTAACAAGTTGAGGGCCCTTCCACAGAGTCATATAACCCAGAATATCAAGGCAGATAATCCACAATGCTTTGAACGGGGTTATTTGAGCCCACACTGCCATATAATCTAGTTCAATGTGGATTTTATACAGCTGTGTGTAAGGTTCCTGAGATGTCAGTCTGAGAAAGCGAACATTTTATTAATTGTTTGAAAGGGAAACACACACTGCTGCATCTTAATCCTTAAATCAGGCAATCTTCATAGTCCTAGCAGTGCTATAAGGAAGATTGATGGTTAGGAGGTATTTCTGGTACGCCCAGTGCTCCTGGAGCCCTTCAGGAGACTGAACTGACCTTTTTAAAAGTGTATTTTCCTCCAGACTGGAGTGCCAGTGTTGAGACAAAGGCCTCACCTCACTGACAATTGAATGCAGACTACTGAATGCTCCTGCATTCTTGAATGTACCAAGTCAGGTGGTTCTATGAGAGTCAGTGCATATATAGTACCTCGACTATTAGATCATGGTCCAAAGTGAATGAACCCTTCTGGGCTGAGCATCTGGCTTCAGTGAAGAAGTCTTTCTCTCAGCTCCCAGGATTCCACAGCATTGAATCACAGAAGCCAAAGTGGTGTCAAACTGCATTAACTGTACAGTGTACATACAATTAGGCCCCTTCTACAGATTATCTTCTTTGAACTGGATTATATGGCACTGTAGACTCCTTCCACACAGCCCTATATCCCAGAATATCAAGGCAGGAAATCCCACATTATCTGGGTGTGCTCAGATAACCCAGTTCAAGGCAGATATTGTGGGGTTTTTTGTTTTGATATTCTGAGTTATAGGGCTGCGTGGAAGGGCCCTCAGATAATCCAGTAAACTGGGGCTGGATTTACAGTGCCCTCTATCCCAGGATCTGATTTCAGATTATCTTCTTATCCCAGATTATCTGGCAGTATAGACTCATAATCTGGGATCAGATAATAGAATATTGGACAGTGTAGCTCTAACCTGGATCTTTTTGATAATCTGGATTTTGTGGCAGTGTAGAAGAGGCCTTAGGGCCCTTCCAGACAGGCCCTATATTCCAGGATGTGATTCCAGGTTTTCTGCTTTAAACTGAATTATATGAGTCCGCACTGCAGGTAATCTGAGATAAACAGAAAACCTGGGATTAGGTCCTGGGATATAGGGCCTCTCTGGAAGAGCCCTGAGTTATCTGAGAGCGTTCCAAACAGCCCTATATTCCAGAATACCAAGACAGAAAATCCCATATTATCTGAGTGTGGACTCAGATAACCCAGTTCAAAGCAAATATTGTGGGATTTTCTGCCTTGATATTCTGGGATATAGGGCTGTGTGGAAGGGCCCTAAGTCTACACTGCCATATATTCCAGTTCAATGTGGATTTTATACAGCTATGTGTTATTGTTGCCTGCCATAGCATTGCACTTAATTCCCGGGCCCCCTAGAATTTTTGGGCTTGCACAAATCTTGGCCCGGCCTTTTAAATTTTTAATTGCCTTGAACAAGCAGGATTACTTTTAATATATGTGTGTTATGGCTACAATTTTTATGTTTATATTTTGTTTGTTAATCTTATGGTTATATTGTTTTTACTCTGTATGTTTTGTGATATTATTTATTATTTATTTATTTACATTATTTCTATCCCGCCCATATCAGCCCGAAGGCGACTCAGGGCAGTATACATAGTCGGCCCAATTCGATGCTGAAACAAAATACATATATTAATAAAGCAAAAACATTAAGTGCAAATTAAACATAAACGACTGCATAATAAACAATTTAAAAAAGAACGATGTCCTCTCGTTCAAATCCTCATCTGTTACATTGTCTTGGCAGTTCCTGGGTCAATTTCCAACTCTAGTTTGTCTATTTACTCTGGGGTTCCGAATGCTTGCTCAAAGAGCCAGTTTTTTTTACTCTTTATTACTCTTTTTTACTCTTTATTACTTGGGAACCGCTCTGAATCCCCTCGGGGAGATGGAGCGGTATATAAAGATTATTATTATTATTATTATTATTATTATTATTATTATTATTATTATTATATAAGGAGTCCTAATCTAGATATTCTGGGCCCTTCTACACTGCCATACAATCCAGGATATCAAGGCATATAATCCACAATATCTGCTTTGAACCGGAGTCCCTTCCACACAGCTGAAAAAATCCATATAACCCATATAACTGAGTCCCCTTTCGGGGAGGGGGGGGGTATAAATATAGTAAATAAATAAATAAATAAATAAATAAGTGGCCCTTCTACACAGCCCTGTATCCCAGAATATCTGGTTTGAACTGGGTTATCTGAATCCACACTTAGATAATGTGGGATTTTCTGACTTGATATTCTGGAATATAAAGCTGTGTTGAAGAGTACCCTGTTAGGGGGGGGGGGGGGGCTGTCCAGGAGGGACTGGGGGCCCTTCCACACAGCCCTATATCCCAGAATATCAAGAAGAAAATCCCACAATGTCTGCTTTGAACTGGGTTATCTGAGTCCACACTCAGATAATGTGGGATGTCCTGCCTTGATTTTCTGGGATAGAGGGCTGTGTGGAAGGGTCCGTCAATTTCATAGTTTGGTGAGGAATTATGGAGGACTCAGGGCCCTTCCACACAGCCTATATCCCAGAATATCAAGGCAGAAAATCCCACAATATCTGCTTTGAACTGGGTTATCTGAGTCCACACTCAGACAATGTGGGATTTCCTGCCTTGATATTCTGGGATATAAGGCTGTGTGGAAGGACCCCCAGTTAGTTTAGGGGGGGGGGGTCTGTTCCAGTGACTAGGGCCCTTCCACACAGCCATGTAACCCAGAATATCAAGGCAGAAAATCCCATAATATCTGCTTTGAACTGGGTTATCTGAGGCGACGCTCAGATAATGTGGGATCTCCTGCCTTGATATTCTGGGATATAAGGCTGTGTGGAAGGGCACCCAGTTAGTTTAGGGGGGGGGGGGTCTGTTCCAGTGACTAGGGGCCCTTCCACACAGCCATATAACCCAGAATATCAAGGCAGAAAAGAAGGGTGCCGCATTGGCTCCGTTTCCCTAGCAACAGGGAAGCCAAGCCCCCTCCCCGTTTAGCATCCAAGGGCCCTACGTCATGCCCGTTGCCATGGTGACACCGCGCCCGCCTGAGCCAATGGCTGACGCCCGCCGTTCTAGCCTCCAGGACGCGTCCTCTCTATAGTATACGTGAGAGTATCCTTGTTGTCGCCTGGATGACGACGACGGAAGTGAAAGGAAGAAAACAACGTCGCGTGACCAGCGGAAACCCGGAAGCGGAAGTGTCGCGCGAGAGCGACAGGGGGAGAGGGAGCTAGAGGCGGCCAGGCGAAGCCTTCCTTCCTTCCTCCCTCCCTCCTGGAAGGCACCCCAGGCCGGGATGGTGAGTGCCGAGCGCGCCGAGACCCACCCAGGCCCGGGTCCTTGGTCTTCCCCTCTCTTCTCCACCTACACTGTCGAATTAATGCGTTTTGACACCGCTTCGACTGCCACGGCTCCATGCTAGTTGTCCTTTGGGGAGGCCCCAGCCCTCTTTGACAGGGAAGGCTCAAAGCCTTGTGGAACTACATCTCTCGTGATTCCATGGCATGGAGCCGTGGCAGTTGAAGCGGTGTCACATTGCGTTCGTTCTGCAGTGCAGAGCCAGCCTCTTGTCACCCGAGAGACGCATGAAAGGCAGACCCCAACTTTGTGCTCTCTCTTCTCCCGGCCTTTCTTAGGCCCCTTCCACAAAACAGTATAAAATCCACATTGAACTGGATTATATGGTAGTGTGGACTCAGATAACCCAGCTCAAAGCAGATATTCCGTATTATTTACCATGTGGAAGGGCCCTTAAGTCGGTTATTGGGAAATCTGAAATAATCCAAAAATATCTACATGGACTGAGATAGCATTACCTTTCCTTTCTGGTGTTTCAGTGCTCACAAGCTTTATTAGGCACAGAATTGGGTATAAAATTTCCTTCAGGCTTTGTGTAAGAGGGTTATATGAAATGTAACTTGGATCTCTTCCACACAGCTGAATAAAATCCCACATTATCTGCTTTGAAATAGAATATATAGCAGTATATATAGCAGTGTAGACTCATCACTCTGATCCTAGGTTTTCTGTTTCTCTCAGATTATCTGGCAGTGTGGGCTCATATGATTCAAATTAAAGTAGAATACCTGGGATATAGGGCCTGTCTGGAAGGGCCTCCAGTTCAAAGTAAATGTTGTGGATTATCTGCCTTGATATTCAGGGTTATATGTGTTACGGTGTAATGTTTTGTTGTTACTGCTTTATGTTTTTGATTTTGCTTTGAGTTGTTTTGTTATGCTGTTGTTGTGTTGGGGCCTTGGCCTTTGTAAGCCACATCGAGTGCTTCGGGAGATGCTAGTGGGGTACCAATAAAGTTAAATAATAATAATAATAATTATAATAATATGGTTGTGTGGAAGGGCCCCCAGTTCAAAGCAGATAGTCTGGATTTTGTAAATCAGTGTAGAAGGGGTCTAATTCTCGTGTAGAAATGGGTCCCATTTTCAAGATACGTCATGTTTGTAAATACAGACATTCCAAAATCTGGAAAAATCCAAAATACTTCTCGAAAGCATTTGGATAAGTGATGATCTCAGGGATAAGAGATGATCTTCCACAAAGTCATATAACCCAGAATATCAAGGTAGAAAATCCCACAATATTGGTTTTGAACTGGGTTATCAGAGTTCACAATGCCATATATTCCAGTTCAAAGCAGATAATGTGGGATTTTATTCAGCTGTGTGGCAGGGCCTCTGTGTTGTCACACTGACTGTGCCATGTTCCCATCTCCTGGCCTTCTATAAAGAGTGCCTGTTCTTCCAATTACACTTGAAAGCCTTTTCCCTAGAAACAGTTAGAGAGGCCATTGAATACAATAAGATTCACCTGATAATGGGAAAGACTAAAAAGCAGCCAGTCTAGTTGCCCAAGAAAAGATAGAGTGTTATCAGTGTACGCTATCTGCATACTTTTGATTCTGTTTAGAAAAGCACTCAATTGGCAAATTGAACAGCATGTAATTTCAAATGCAATTCCAAGGAGGACCAAGTGGAAGAATTTACATACTAGAAAACATTACTAAAGTGGCTGAATCTTTTCATAAGGAAGAGATGGGAATATTAAGATGGTGTCTTCCCATATGAAGGGACAATATTTTACAAGTTGAAAGATCCTGCCCATCCTATTTGCTTTTACATCATGTGGATTTGTTTTATTGTTTCATTTTGTTATTGTAATTTATTTTCTGATGCATTTTGTTTTGTATTCTGTATTTTACTGTGTTGTATTGTATTTTTATAAGGGCTTGGCCTTATGTTAGCCACCCCGAGTACCCATTGGGGAGATGGTGGCGGGGTATAAATAAAGATTATTATTATTATTTATGCTGTGTGATGTTTACTCTTATATTTTAAGACTGACAGTTTACTATAAGCAATTAGATAGGCTTATATTTCAGCAAGTGTTAGACTAACTATTAAGAGTTTTGTGTGGTATTAGATAGACTGGGTTTTCCAATGAAACCTTTAAGTAACTAAATACAGATTTATGACTGAGTGAGAGCTTATCAAACATGGGGCTGTTTGTATGGTGTGGTCCTTTCATAGGGTTTTATCATCTCTCTCTGTCACAGACAGAAGCAGCAAGTACCTGACCAGATCATTTCATTCAAGTACTTTCATCACAGTCTCTCTGTTATTTCCTCTGCAGGTCACAAGGCCATTGGTACCAGTAGGAGCCCAGTTCTGGCGTTGGATGTGTTGGCACCTGGCCCCACCTGGGCAATCATGAACGGGAGTGCAGTGCCCCTGTCCCCGGTTGGGGGAGGGATGCTGGGTGAACCTGCCTCTCTCCCCTCACCGGGTTGGCGGGAATTCTGTGAGGTGCATGCTCGGGCTGCCGCTGTGGATTTTGCTCGTCGTTTTCGGGCCTTCTTGGCTGAGAACCCACAGTTTGCCACTCCAGGAGCCGAAGCCGCCTTCTCGCGTCGCTTTGCTGAGCACTTCCTGGAACATTTTGAGGCCGAAGTGAGCCGGGTTTATGCCAGCGACTCACCACCTCGTTGTGACATTGCCCCCTTTACTGGCTGTTCCTCTGCCCGTGACCTCTCAGAGACCTGCAGTGACTCGTCAGTGGCCTCGCCTGTGGAGCCTCCCCTAGGACCACCTTCTGGACTCTCCAGCAGCCAGTCCCGCAGCTCTGAGGATGTTTCTACCGTGACAGCAGTGACCGCCACCAAACCAAAGCTGAAGAAGCGCTTTTCGTTGCGCAATGTGAGCCGCAGTGTCCGTGGCAGTGTCCGTGGCATCCTGCAGTGGAAGACGTCGGCTGACTCGTCCCCTGGGGGTGGAGACGGGGCAGGGACAGGAGCCAACAGTAATTCCAACTCTTCAGGGGGTGGTGACTCTGATCGCTGGACTCACCGATTTGAGCGTCTGCGGCTCAACAAAGCCACCCCGGCCACTCTTCGAGTGGAACTGGCCAGTGTGAGGCGTGAGGGCTTACTGAACTACATTGTGGCTGACGATGGGTCAGGCGGGGGTAGTCGGACACGCTGGCAGAAATGCCGTCTTCTTCTGCGCAAAGCAGGGAAAGGGGAGGGAGAGGGGTACCTGTTGGAGTTCTACATCCCACCAAAGGTAAGCAGTGGGTCTCTGGATGCAATGGAGGAGGAGAGGGGAGGGCAGAGAATGGGTATAACCATTGAGAGGTGGTTGCGGGAACCAAGATATTCCAGGGATTTCTTGTTTCAGACTGGGGGTGTTATTACATTTCTCTCTCTCTCTGTCCCCCAATCTTTTCAACTGCTAGGCATCAAAGCCACGGGTCAGTATTGCCTGCTCCTGTGTAGTAGATGTGCGGACAACTACTCCCCTGGAGATGCCAGACAAGGAGAACACATTTGTGCTCAAGGTAGGAAAAAAAAGATGAGTTTGGGTACAGGCAGAGCAGTAATGTCTTAAGATTTGTATTACTATTCTTTTTATTTATACCCCACTTTTTCTCTCCACAAAGAAGACTCAAAGTGGCTTACATAAAGCATTTCAATACAATTTGAAATCCAAACAACATTGGATTATACAAACATTAAGCAGAATAAAGCCTCAATGGTATTAAAAATTAACAGATAAAATCCATAAATTGCCTTCAATTTTATTTAAAGCTAAAGCTTTGCAGTCTGATTAAGAGCCTAATATATTTCAAGCAAGTTTCAAAAGCCCATGCATCCCAAGCCATCAGAAGGCATCCTGGGTCTGTTGAGATGTTTTTTTTTTTTTTACAATAAATTTATTTCCTACCAGTGTCCACATTTACAGGGTCTCGTAATCCAATACTGGTAGAGGGCACTGTGTTGTCAATTTAAGTTTTAAACCTATTCAGTAATAATTGGAACAGTGGAAATTGTACACCAAATCTTTCACCAATTTATACATAACAAAGTGGTCCATGGAATTGTTTTCCTGAGATAAAACTAGAGTTCTTTTCGCCAGCTGACAGTACAAGTGGCAATGGCTGGACTGTGCTTTTAGTAATTGTTTTCTTGCCTCTTGCTTTTCTTCAGGAAAGAGCCAGTTAATAATAACTTTATTTTTATCCCATTCTATCTCTTCTGCTCCAACAATATCTTGGTCATTTTGATGAGGGTGATTTTCCTGTGCCTTTGGGATGATTGGAGGCCAGTGTTTTTCTTAAGGGAAGCTGAATGTATAAAAACATTTTGCACATTTTATGTGAACTTGTAGCCAAGCAAGGATTCAGTAGGTTCTGCTGTAATGTGATAGTTGCATTCCTTTAAAAGGCCACCTTTCCTGCTCTAAAAATAATAAGACTTCTGAGCCTAATAAGACACGGGCCTCAAAGGCACAGGAAAATCACCCTCATTAAAATGAACTTGGTGAAGATCTCAAAAATATATCTAAATTATTTATTTTAATTTATCACACATTTTAATCTGCAGAAGATAAAAGTAATATTTTCTGGGTCTTAGGAGTTTCATGCATATTTGTTTGTTATTGCTGGCACCGCAGCACTTGCTAGGTTTAATTTCTCAAGAGCAGTGGCAAAGTTGCACTTACCCAGATACAGGAGTTGGTGTTTGGGAGGGTAAAAAGCATTCACCATGCCTGAGAAATTACCCTGTGGAAGAGCCAGTTGGTGCATTTAGGGCCCCTTCCACACAGCTGAATAAAATCCCACTTTTCCTGCTTTGAACTTGAATATATGGCATTGTGGATTCAAATAACCCAGTTCAAAGCAAATATTGTGTGATTTTCTGCCCTGACATTCTGGAATATATGGCTGTGTGAAAGGGTCCTAAATAAAACTACAGGAAAGAGACTCTCCCTCATTGGTAATTGTTGGCGATGAAGTCAGAGCTGTGGCCTTTGAGAGGTAACAAGTATACAGGCTTTTGGTTCTCTAAACTTTCACTGCTGGTTTTGTCCCCACCATCAGCAAAAATGACACAGCTCTTCTGAACACTTTTTTGGACCTATGTGGCTGATAAGCTGAGCAGCTAAGATGAAGGCAATTAATTATTTCCCTCCTGCAATGGGAATTGCACCATAGTGAAAGTAATATTGAATGTAATGTTTTTAATATGTATTAAATTTTAATTTAATTTTAATATTATTGGAATTGTATGTTGCTCTAAGGCATTGAATAATTGCCTGTATGTAAGCTGCCTTGAGTCCCCCTTGGGGTTGAGAAAGGCAGGGTAGAAATAAGGTAAATAAATAAATAAATAAATAAATAAAGTGCAAATTAGTAGTTTGCATTCTGTGAATAATGTTCCTCTGTTAATAAGCATGTTATTGCCAATTCATGTTGTAAAAAACGTATCTTCATTGAAGGCTTGTATGGGCTAGTGTTTTTTTCATAATAAAACAAAGAATGGGAAATTCAGCCTGTGAAAACGTACATCAGGAAAGGGGGCTAGCAAAGGTTTATGTGTGTACTTCCTTTTCAAGTCTCCCATCAATTTATGGTGACCCTATGAATTTCATAGGTTTTTCTTAGGGAAGGATATTCAGAAGTAGTTTTGCTAGTTCTTTCCTCTGAAAGATGGCATACAGCACCTGGCGATCATTGTTGTCTTCCATCCAATTGCTAACCAGGGCTAACCCTGCTTAGCTTCAAGACAAGACAGCATATGTTGCCTTTAACCCTTGGTAGAAATGTTATACAACTCTTGTGTTAGCTCTGTTCTATCATAGGCTGAAAAAGATGGAGGAATGAGCAAACACTAGATTTTCTTATTATTACTTAGTGTACAATTACCTCTCATTATTGATTTCTTCTATTGTTATCTTAAGGCATGTGGATTTTAATTGCTGGGGAACGTGTATTGACATTGGTTCGGTAGTTTGATGTTAGTCTTACAGGAAACAATTCCCTATCATCTGCAGAAAGTCACATTCACTTTTCTTGTTCATGATATATGATTCCTTGACTAGAGATATGGGAGGAGAGAATTGTAGGACTTAGAGGTCCTCTAAAGTGTTATGTATTATGTTATGTATTATATATGTATTATATATACTGCCCTGAGTCGCCTGCGGGGTGATATGGGCGGGATATAAGTGATGTAAATAAATAAATAAATGTATTAATAACGTTCCCTCTCTTGTCTCCATTTTCAACCCTCCAGTTGTCAAGCTCCTTGGAGTACATCCTTGAGACAGTTGATTCGCTACAAATGCGCTCCTGGCTGGCAGACATTCAAGAATGTATGGGCCTGGGGTATGTTGCACCAATCTGTAGGAAAGGATCATAGTTCAGTAGATTAAATACTCTTCACACAGGTTCAACCCATAGTTTAAAAGTAACATGTGGCAAAACCCTAGTTTTATATAATACATTAATTTTTTTAACTAACTGAAATAGTATAATGGTGAATTAACAAGGGGGTAAACTTGCTCTTTTCACAGTATAGTTAACACTTCAATTACTTTTATTGTTATGGGTATATGACTTTCCTAAATGATGGAGGAGGGGCGTCATGAGGTCTAAGTACTGCAGGGGTGGCCAAAGTCTAATACTTTAGGTATTTTGCTTCTGAATAGCGAGGTTCAGCTTTGACTCTCACAGCTAACAGCATTTCCTTCTGCAGAGAGAGCACCGATAGTCTGGAGCAATCATGCATGAACCACTCAGAGAGCATGCCCAGCCGGGAACTTCCTATGGTGCCGAGTGAAAGCAATGAACAGCTCAGCCAAGGTTTGCATCTGTTTATCCCAGATACAGTTCTATCTATATATGCTGTGACCACAAAAAAGATGACTCCAGATTTTACAAATGGTTAACTCAAGTTTCTTTTAGAATAGATCTGTCTTTGCAGATGAAGATCTGATATTTTCCCCCATTCAGGTTTTGTTCTATAGCCAACAGAACATACTCTTGTGTCTTTAAATAGGAAGGGACAAGGTTTTTTTTTTTTAAAAGCCAGGAACATGCATAGCCAATAATCTAGTGTCCTCATGCTTTCCCCAGGTGCCTATGGTGGACTGATGGAGCGTCCTTCAGCCTCCATGTCCCCCAGTTCAGTCTCTATCGCTGCCTCGCACTTTGACTCCATGGAGCTGCTGCCTCCAGAGCTGCCGCCACGGGTGCCGATAGATGAAGGGCCATTTCCCACTGGCCTCCTCCATACATCTTTCCCTGAAACCCCAGACACCACAGGTAAATGTCTGGAATGGGACCACTGGGTCTCTTATTTTAGTTCTCAGAAAGGTATTTCTTATACTGTTTTATATGGACGACTGTTGTACTTCAAGGCTGGGAACCACCTCTGTACTTAGCACACACTCCAGTCCAAAGTAAAATAGGAAAGCAGTTTATTGAAGAATATATATGAAAAGCAATTCAGCAAATGTATAAAAAACCAAAGTCCATATACCAAGAGTAATCCACAGAAATCATAGTATAAGAGTAGCATTAAATACCAGGAATACAAATGCAGAATGAATCCAAATCATGAGATTCAGGAACAGCCCTCAAAACTTGGAATCATGAGGCATGAACAAAAGGAAACATGGAACATAAAACTAGAAATCCCATGACTTGACAGTAGTTCTATACTCAAAACACCAATGTTGCCTGGAGTGGCAGACCCATCTGCTGGGCTAGCTAATATAGAGCGAAAATCATGCCTTCTCCCCAGGAAACTGATAAGGACTTCTTGCTGATAGGCGTTTTGACCTTTGTAAACTCTTCTGAGAAGCTCTGTGTTGACGGAACGTACATCTCCTATCTAACTGTTCACTGGTCTGTCCACCTGGACTTTCATTTTCATCCCCTGAACTCTGATCTGTTTCTGATCTTGCTTCCCTAGTGAACTGCCTTTCAGAATGTGACCTTGAGACACAGATCACTCATTGTCAGTTTTTAAAATCTCTTGCTGGCTCTCCTGCTGACTTCCAGACCCAGAAACCCCAGTGCCATCAGAATGACTAACAGGCCCTGAATCCCCAGAGAGATCAGGTATAGGCATAATCAAAGGCTGAACACCACCAACAACAACAATAATCTTTTCCCTGATGAACTAGGGACTGATACCATATTGTGCCCATTGGCTACAACTGGTTTCTTCCTTTTAGACGTGGTGCTGATTGGTACCAGTCCATGGATCACTACTTTGAACCTGCTTCTCTTTTATCTCGCCCGAGTTTTTAATTAGTTTTAATCAGTTTGTCTTTTAACCATTACATGTAGCCCGTCCATTGTCATTGTCCTTGTGCTTATTGTATTTTTTACATTGTTATGTATTCACATGTTTTAGGTAACTATGATGTTGTTGTTTATTGTTTGCATTTTCGGTTTACGTTTTCGGTTTTTCTTTATTGTAATTGTTGTTTGGGCTTGGCCTCATGTGAGCCGCTCCGAATCCCCATCGGGGAGATGGTGGCGGGGTATAAATAAAGATGATGATGATGATGATTATTATTATTATTGAATAGCTCTGATCTAGAAATACTGTAAATTAGACCTCAGTTTCAAGGGGGTAATCTGCCCAAGGTGTCATGTTCTTGGTGAGTGGGATTAGAGCCAGCAGAAAGTGAAAGAAAAACCAAATTGTTAATTGGATTAGATGGCACCTTCTCTTCCCCATTCTACTGCAGAGTATGCACATTCTTCCTCTCCTTACTCCATTTCTACTGTCATGGGAAATCAAATTGTGTACTGCCTGTGACCATTTTGTCACAGTTTCCTCATTGGTGTGGAAGTGGGTCTAAGGTGTTGGAAAAACAGCAAGATGGCATTCTCTGAATGATTCTTTTATGTTTTGTTGATTAGCCCATTGGCTGTATGAAAACATTTAACAAACACATTTAACACATATACAGACAGCATACGACCCACATTAAAATCAAACTTGACTGAGGAAGCAATTGACACGGGGGGTTGCCAGTCAGTGAGAGTGCATCAACTGCTGGAGATTATCATACGAAAGCTGACTGGCACAACCTGGGGATCACAACCAGATACAGTGAAGACATCTGCCCTTGCGCTGTGCTACTCTGCTGCTGAGTACGCATGCCCAGTGTGGAACACATCTCACCACACTAAAACAGTGGATATGGCTCTTAATGAGACATGCCGCATTATCACGGGGTGTCTGCGCCCTACACCACTGGAGAAATTACACTGCTTAGCCGGTATTGCACCACCTGACATCTGCCAGGAAGTAGCAGCCAATAGTGAAAGGACCAAGGCAGAGACATCTCACCCCCTGTTTGGGTATCAGCCAGCACGTCAACGACTTAAATCTAGAAATAGTTTTCTAAGATCTACAGAGACACTCGCTGGAACACCTCAGCAAGCGAGAGTCCAAAAGTGGCAGGCTCAAACCCAGAACCTGAACCAATGGCTGATACCAAATGAGAGACTCCCCCCTGGGCACACAGAAGACTGGGCGACTTGGAAGGCACTGAACAGACTGCGCTCTGGCACCACGAGATGCAGAGCCAACCTCAGAAATGGGGCTACAAAGTGGAATCCTCGACATGCGAGTGTGGAGAGGAGCAAACCACTGACCACCTGCTGCAATGCAACCTGAGCCCTGCCTCATGCACAATGGAGGACCTTCTTGCAGCAACACCAGAGGCACTCCAAGTGGCCAGCTATTGGTCAAAGAACATTTAATCAACTACCAAACTCACAAATTTTGTATTTTGTCTGTTTGTTTGCTTTGTTTCTGTTAGAAATGTAGTATAATTGGTTGCCCTGACATGACAAATAAAACCGCTGGAAATTGCTCCCTTTGTCTGGACTTCACCTTGACACTGGTGAATATCTAACTCTGATATTGACATAGATGAAAATCAAACTTAAAATAAGCAAGCTGTTAATAAGGGGTCAAGATCCTGATCCAGATCAAATATCTGCATCACCCTTACAATTTACACCAAATCGACTCCAAATATGCAGCTCTCGACTGAGTTGATTTAAATAGAAAAGGGGCCATTTTGTATGTTATTTTAGCATTCTGGCCAGCCAATAAAAATGTAGTTTTAATATAAGGATCCCAGTGTGTCTTTTGTATAATGTGTGGCCCGAGGTATTGGTTTCTCTCTTTCTTATACAAGTTACAGCTCCACAGATACAAAATAGTTCATTATATGGGACTTGGTTAAACCTTCCACGTCTGACCATTGTATCCAGCTGTTCAAATCTAGTTCTGATACATACCCTCCTGAGGTGTTTAGGCATTTCTGTCTTTAGATATTGGGTTGTTTGAAAAGTATGTTTAAAACGACTTAGCCATTTCAACGAGCTGGCTTTACTGAAGGGAGCAATATCTTTCTGAGCTTCTATATCCAGTATTCACATTCTCTGAATGGATTTTGGGGCTTTCTCATTGCTTCTCTTTCTCCCTCAGGTTCCTTCCTTTTCCAAGGAGAGCCTGATCCAGGCGGAGGAAGCCTTGGTGAGACAGAGCACCCGCTCTCTGATTATCCTTGGTTCCACGGCACCCTCTCCCGCCTCAAAGCAGCACAGCTGGTGCTGGCAGGAGGAACCAGCAGCCATGGTGTTTTCCTCGTGCGCCAGAGTGAGACGCGACGCGGAGAATATGTCCTGACCTTCAACTTCCAGGGGAAAGCCAAGGTGAGTGCAGGCACGCTGATGTATCTTTGGAAGAGAGGCCTGGCTTGTCTTAACAGGCCAGGATGGCTTGTGGGTGTTTCCTCACCCAGCCTTCTTTTCCAACCGCTAGCACCTGCGCCTCTCCCTTAATGAGGATGGGCAGTGCCGGGTTCAGCATCTCTGGTTCCAGACCATCTTCGACATGCTGGAGCATTTCCGGGTCCATCCCATCCCCCTTGAATCAGGTGGTTCCAGCGATGTGACGCTCGTCAGCTATGTGGTGGCTTCACAGCGGCTGCACGGTGAGCCTGGGAGGAGTGGGATGCTGGGCTGGAAAGAGCATCGACACCGTCGCTGGTCCATGTCATGCTCCATCTCCCACCCATCTTTTTCCATTGTAGTTCCAAACATGTCCCTTTCCACTTTCCGACCCAAGCCTTCCGCTCCAGCCCTGTGAAGTATTGCATATGCCACACGGGGTGGGGGAAAGTCCTGTCCTCATCATGTCTGCTCCTCCCTCTCTTCTCCCCACCCCAATCCCTATTTCTGACGTGGGCATCTCTGTCACAGGCCGGGACCGGGCTGGGAGCCGAGCGCCGGTGTCTGGGTTCAGTGGGGACCCCGACTCGCCCCCCAACCTCATCTCCATCCTTGCTGCCGCCTCAGCGGGTGACTGCGTGTAAGTGTGCAATAGCTCCCATGGGGGAAGGAGGCAGGGACCTGAGCGCGTGTGTGTGTTGTCACGGCCCCACGCCATAGCCCATCGCTATATCCATGGGTTGTGTGAGTGTGCAGTGCCCACGCCATCCACTGTCTGTGATACCATGAGGCAGGGGAGGAGTTTTGAGAATGAAGATGCTCCTGCCGGCATTTCCAGATGGGGCAGGAAACATCTCTGAAACTCTCCAAGGAATCACCATCTGTCAGTGTGTAGAAAGAGATGAGTTAGATTAGCAATAATACAATAATAATAATACCGCCTTATCATCCCCAGGGGACTCAGGGTGGTTTACACATACAAAGGCAAATATTCAATGCTTGGCATATACCAAAACATTACAGCATAAGACTACAGGTTAATGGAATTTCCCTTTTGAAATAAAACTGACGCTCCCAAATCACAGCTTGATACAAATTTATAGGCAAGGGGTACTGGAGCAGGTTGTCTTCTTCCTCTCTGAGCCACATGTCGTGTGTTCTTAATACAGACTTACGTTTGAGTTGCAGTAAGTTTCTAGTCCAGAAACTTTAAAAAGAACCAATAGAGCTGTACAAAAACCTGGCCAAAACTAACCAATTAAAAATTGTTATTTTATGGTTGAGGAACACTGAGGCTCGAGGAAGTAATTAGTGCAAAATCATCCATGGGGAAGGAAAGAACCATTCAGTGTGGCTAATGTTACATTACTGGGGATCCTCAGCCATTGTGAAATACTACAGAGAACCCAGAGATATAAAAGCAGATTTGATACATGTTCTGACTGCCCCTGATTTGATCTATGACATTGCAATTGTCCAACATGGTTTAAGTAACTCTGGAGTTTATCTGCTCCAAAACTAGGACAGCATTGTGACCATGAGTAACTTCAGAGGTTACTGGAAATACTGCCAAACCGATCTAGCTTGGCAGCATATCCTTTAGCATACAAAGCTTCTCTGTGCCTCCTTGCAATCATAGTTATGATTAATTGAATGAGTTATTTATTTATCTGTCAGAAGCAAACTGAGGGAACAGTTGTATTTAAAAACCCAAACAAAGTATTTTTATTGGCATTATAATAAATGTTCTTTGAACAATAGCCACTTGGAGTGCCCCTAGTGTTGCTATAAGAAGGTCCTCCATTGTGTATGTGGCAGGGTGGAGATTGCATTGTAATAGGTGGCCTGTGGTTTGCTCCACAACATGCGAGTGTTTTGACGAGCAATTGAATGGGTGTCATAACTTTGCAGAATTGTTTTATCTATCAGAGCATACAGACAATACATAATTAAACACTGTCTACTCTGGCCTCATGGTGTGCAATTTTCCTCCCTCTTCTGTTTCTTCCCATAGCCCCTCTCCCTATGATTATGAATGATGTGACCAAATCCTCCCCCAATGTTTTGGTGCAGAGCCAAGACACCCTCTAAGACAGAGGTGGGTGATTGTGGGTTTGCAGATATTTTTGCCTACAAGGCTCATCAGTTCTAGCTGGGATAGTTAGAGTGAAAGAGTATGTGAGCTGTAGTCCAAAAACATCAGGCAGGCTTGTGCTAGGACAACTTGGGGATAAGGACATACTTAACTGAACATTTCCTGCTTTCCTTGAGCACCATAATAACTCTAACACCTTACAGTACTGTGAAACACTACAAAGACCTGCATAACTGAAAGGTATTTGCCCGTTAAGCATGATGAACTTGAATGCTTGAAATTAGGTTTGACGCATTCAGTGATGGACAAGGAACTAGTAGCTGCTGTGTGACACACATTTGAAACACATGTCAGGTTTCTAACTGGAGCCTAACAATTCTCAGCTTTAAAAGGGCTTAGTAAAAGATGCTCCAAAGAAGTTTGTAGAGAAGCTGACTGTCAATTTTCCACCTTGTAGAGGCACAAAGGAGATCTGAAGGAATTGGTTTAGGACGCCAATATCCCAGATGTTGGTGGATCTCACCTCCCCAAATTCACTGGCCAGGCGTTTGGGAAATAGGAGATCAGAAACTGTCTAGTGATGCAAATTTGGAATCTACTACTTTTGGAACACAGACACAGTCAACATTCAACACAGTGTCTTGATCCAACTGAACAGTTGTCCAACTACTACAACTGATTTATGTCAGTGTGAGAAGTTTCTGGAGATTCCACTGAAGTGCAGAATTTCATTTGGGTACAGAACTGGGGATCTTGGAGACCAAATCCTTGCTTTAGTAGGAGCATTTAAAAAACAAAAACTGGTGCAGAGATGAGTATGAATGCGTTGATAATGCTGCAATAAGGCGGAAGCATTGGAAAGTTCCTTTTTCTACTACAAATTCCACTGTTCGCCCAGTGGCCTGCCAGCTATGGGATTCTGGAAGCCATTGTCCAAAAAAGTAACTCTCTATGTTCTGGGGTAGGTGTACTCTTGTTGAGATGGCTTGCACATTATCCCTTGCTTGTCTCCATGATTAGCAGGGCAATGTAATATTTTGGAATTTGGCTGTATGTCAGAATCGTACCTAGGACATGTATCACCACTAATTAACAAACAAAATCAGTAATGTTCTGTTGGGCGAGTGGGGTTATTAACTTCTCATAAATGTACAGCAGAGTAACTTATTAGCAGCAGCGTGGCCCTGGACTAGTAGCCCAAAGTGATAAAAAGAACAAAAACACACAGATATTCCATAGAAGGCTTTTCTTTGTAGTAAAAGAATATGGTTACACTATTTACAAGAACAAGGCTTCTATAACACAAATAAAGGTCTTTATACTTCTTTCGTTGCTTCCATGCTGGGCTTCTTTGTTATGCAGATAAACAGCTTTGCTCACACATCAAAATTATACAGGAGCTTCACATAATAGTGCCTTACACAGCCTTACACATGAGGCCTTTAACCTGAGGTTTCTCTCACTGAAGCTTCACACAGCAAGCCTTCTCACACTCTGCCTTTTCATAGACTGACTTACCTCATACTGTGAGACCTACCTCACACAGAGGCTTTTCTCACAGACTAAGGCCTACCTCACACTAAGACCTTTCTCCCACTGAGGTTTACCTCAGTCTGACTGCTACTAAGTTACAGGCAAACCTGCTTATATAGAACTACAGCTTTTGCTGAGTCATTGTATCCATTTAACCCTTTCAGCGCTTGACTCACAATTTTGGAATCAAAAATACCTAGTTAATATTTAAAATATTTCTGACATGTTCATGGTTTCACTTCCTATAGAGTCTGTGACCCAATACTCAAAGGAAAAGGCTGGCCTTGTTCCAGCAGTAGAGTTGAGGACTGGAGATGTTTATGCCAGTTATATGTTTGAAATTTGTAGATCTCAGTATAGATAGCCTGAAAACATTGAGTAGAGCAGCTTCCTTTTCTTTCTTTAGCCTGTGCATTAAGCCTTTGTATTTCTAATCATAATAAATATCAAATTTGAGTTTAAATGTCCTAAGCGTTCAGGTTCAAAAGATCTTGATTTAAAAGGGCACCTCTTTGGGGGAGGGTATCCTTAATACAAGAATGTGAAACATATGAATAGTGACATCTTAGAAGAGGTGCCTATCTACCCATCAGCTCATTCACTCATCAATCCACCCCTTTCTTTATATTTGCCATTTCTCCCAGGCTGGAACTCAAAACAGTTTACAAAAAGACATTTTGCAGATACAGTTAAAAACCTATGAAATCAAGATTAAAACAGAGTTACATAACCATTTCCATCTTACTTTAAAGCAGATTAAAAAGAGATATGGCCGCAGCTCTTTGGACCAGTTGAAATTTCTGAACACTTTTCAAAAGCAGCCTCATGTTGACTAAATTCCAGCAATTGAGTCGGGATGTAACCAAGGCATATGGTACTGTGGCCAAGTCAGATGTCCCACAGAATGGGCGCAGCTGACGCATTAGCTTTAACTGTGCAAATGCACTCCTAACCACTGCATGCCTTCACCTGCAGGAGGACATGCTTTTTTCCAAATTGTTCCTGCTTTTGTAAATATGCTTTTTAGTTCAGTTACTTGTGCAAAGGTATGCAGTCTTAGTTAGCTCAAGCTTATGAGGTTATCTGGCTAGGTTACTAAAAGGATAACAGTTGTAGTGTTTGGTGTTATTTAAGCAACTGCATCAAGTGATAAATGATAACATAATACTTAATCTCTGCATTATACAGAAATAGATTACAGTGCAATCCCCCAATCTTATTTATTTATTATTATTTTATTTCATATACTTCTATCCCGCCCTTCTCAACCCCCGAGGGAGGACTCAGGGCGGCTTACAAAAAAGGCACAATTCGATGCCTATACAAATTACACATAATATACAAAACCATAGTTAAAAGCAATTATCACAGTTAAAACAATCAAACAACCAGTACATAACACATCATATGAAACTATTCTCGTGCTCAGCGTTTCGTCTTTCAGAGTTCCATAGTTCTAGTCCATTAATCATTTCCTAATCATCGTCAAAGTTCTTTCTTTATCTGCCCGATTGTCCGAATGCCTGGTCCCAAATCCATGTTTTCAGTTTTTTCCTAAAGGAAAGGAGCGATGTTTCAGATCTAATTTCCTCGGGGAGTGAATTCCACAGGCGGGGGGCCACCAACGAGAAGGCCCTGTTCCTCGTCCCCGCCAACCTCACTTGTGATAAAGGCGAGGTTGAGAGCAGGGCCTCCCCGGAAGATCTTATACTCCGGGATGGGACGTAAAGGGAGATCCGTTCGGACAGATACACTGGGCCGGAACCGTATAGGGTTTTGTAGGTCAAAACCAGCACTTTGAATTGTGCTTGGAACTGGATCAGCAGCCAGTGGAGCTGACACAACAGGGGGGTGGTATGCTCCCTGTATGACGCCCCGGTGAGCAGTCTGGCTGCCTCCCGCTGGACTAGTTGAAGTTTCCGAGCAGTCTTCAAAGGCAACCCCATGTAGAGTGCATTGCAGTAATCTGTGGACTAGTACCTGTGTCTAACAACATAATGCTTTTTTCTGGGACTATTCTAGGTCTCCAGGTGATTACATTATATAGCTTCATTATATATTGTACTTCACAAACAAAATAGTGACAAAACAGTTCCTAGTTCTCGAGTTTACAATATAAGTTGACCATAAAATCACGCAGGAGGACCTCTCTAGGCATTTCTCGTGTTCTACAACACATCTTTATTGTATTTTTCTGCCTGAAGTAGTTCATTCAGTAGGGTTCACTATTATCTGCAGGTTCGCATAGCCATGTACATTTTTGAAATTTATCCCTTGCAGATGAGGGGGTCGTACTCTTATGTACTGTGTTGGAAGTAATGGATGCAACTGCGGTTTTGCATAACTTTTATGTCAAAGAAATCAGCCTTCTTTGGTGTACAAATAAGATCCTTTAAAAAAAAAATCAAACTTGTACCATCACCATAAGCACAGTAGTTCATTGTTTTTAGTAAATCATTACCATTATAAGTATGAAAACAATGGGTTTGCTAAAACATGTTTAATAGAGGAATGCTAACTTAGGTCTCTTGGCAGTGTTGTGGTTTCACCCTCTCCCCTATAGGCTCTGGTGACACCAAAAACGAATACAGAGGCTTTTTTGGTCCTTCAAATCAGGTTGCCATGGAGGAGGGGAAGGGGTGTTCCTCCTGCTTCCTTGGTGGAATGAAAAATTGCCAACAGAAACATATTGCGCTCCATTCTGTGGGCATTCATTGCTCACACCCAAACAGTCTCCATGTGACTGCCATTTGAATTGATTAGTGGAAAATAATAATAATAATAATAATAATAATAATAATAATAATAATAATAATAATAGAACTGCAAAGACGCTAGCACAAGCTAGTAAAACTGGTCCCAGTGGTGACTGGCACACTGGGTGCAGTGCCTAAAGACCTTGGCCTGTATTTAAAAACAATCAGTGCTGACAAAATAACCATCTGTCAGTTGCAAAAGGCCACCCTATTCGGATCTGCATGTATTATTTGCTGATACATCACACAGTCCTAGACACTTGAGAATCTTGTTATGTATCAAATAACAATAACAACAACAGTAAATTTTATTTATATCCCGTCCCCTCTCCCTGAAGGGACTCAGGGCAACTTACAACAAAACAGCAAATACAGTAAATGGAACTAGGTAAATTCAGAGTGGCTCAAAAAGAGCTATTTCTAAAGAGTTCTGAGCACGAGCCCCCTGTTCTGGACTATTTGTGGTTGAACACTGGGGGCCCTCAGATGACTCACAGTTTCTCCCTCCCTCTTCTTGTCTTAACCCCACACCATCTTGTCTCTTTGTCTGTCTGTCTCTTTCTGCTCTCTCCACAGAACCGAACACCTCTCGTAACCTGCCGCCGCCCCCGCCCCCGCTTCCCCCTGCCCGGCCACCTCATGTGCCCTCCGACCACGGCTCGCCAGAGACTGAGGGACAAGTTGAGGAAGAGGGCCGAACAGCGCCAGAGGTGGACGAGGGAGCAGCCTCAAGAGGCGGGGGTCCCCTTCCCTTGCCGGAGGAGCCAGAAGGACGAGCCAGGGCTGTGAACAACCAGTACTCATTTGTCTGAGTCCCATGGATATGAGAAAGAGAGCGACGAAAGGGACTTTGACTATCACCAGAGAGCGCTCTCGCCCTGGCTATGGTACAGAATGGGCTCGCATGCCCAGTAGATTTCTAGACTTTCCTCCAGTGACCTATGAAATGAGGACTGGCCTTATCTCCTCCTATCTCTCCCTGTCTCCTCTTCCTCTTGGATTTGGAGCAAACATCAATTCTGCTTGCCCCCAAAATGTAGGTACAATCCAGCCTCCCCTTTCCCGATCTCCCAATCCCAATTTGCAATAGCTCGGTACACACTACTTTTACCGTTTTTGGTTGCTGAAGTATGGGCCTGCTTTTCCTTCTTTCTTCCTCCATGCTCTGCCCTCTCCAGGCTCAAACCTCTGCAATTAGGCAGGAGTTATAGCTCACTGTAAACACTACAGGCGAAGGTGGGCATAGGTGGTGCATTCACCTCTCCCACCCCTTATAAACATTGACTCTAGACACAGTCTTTTGCATCCCCACCCTTCTTGCTGAATGTATGGAGTCTCCGAATGTAACGCCCTCTTCCCTCCCTTCCCTGCTCTCTTGGGGCAGTGGAGGCAGGGAAGGTTCGCTTCCTTTTCCCAACCCAGAAATATATTTATATTCTTTTATCACTTCCCTCTTCACCCTCACAATTCGGGACTGGCCACACATGATAAACTCTCCACCCACTCAGTTATTTCTTTTTAAAGGATACTACTATACACTTTCACAGATACTGTTCCCCTTGCTCTTGTTCCTGCTACACCTCTCCTCTTCACCCCCTTTAAGATTTATTTTTCTACTGTGGACTAGTTGGACTGCTCAGGCCCTCTCTTATCTCTTCAAATTCTCTCATTTTTTAAAAAATTTACTCTGAGGTACTGTTCATCTGTGTTTTTTCTGTTATGTTTATTTTTTGGAGTTTGTATGAAAATAAAGGAAAACATCATTTTACCTTTTAAAAGAAAAATGACAATCAAGTTGAAAGCAGAAAAAAATGTCATGAGGGGAGTTGTCCTTGTTCTTTCGGCTGGAGTAAAGGTTTACGATCTGGCTTCCTTGGAATCCCTGGTGGCGCAATGAGTTAAACCATTGTGCCGGCAGGACTGTTGACTGAAAGGTTGGCAATTCAAATCCGCGAGACACGATGAGGTCCCGTCTGTCAGCTCCAGCTTCCCATGTGGGGACATGAGAGAAGCCTCCCATAGGATGGTTACACAACCGGGCATCCCCTGGCCAACATCCTTGCAGACAGCCAATTATCTCACACCAGAAGCAACTTCCAGTTTCTCAAGTCGCTCCTGACATGGGGGGGGGGGAGTTATTTATTCATTTATTTGTGACATTTATATGCCACTCTTCTCACCCTGAAGGGGACTCAGAGTGGCTTACAAGATATATATACCGTATATACTCGAATATAAGCTGACCTGAATATAAGCCGAGACACCTGATTTAACACAAAAAACTGGGGAAATGTATTGACTCGAGTATAAGCTGAGGGTAGGAAATGCAGCAGCTACTGGTCAATTTCAAAATAAACATGGATACTAATACAATTACATTAATTGAGGCATCAGCAGATTAAATGTTTTTGAATATTTACATAGAATTCTAATATAAGATAAGACTGTCCAACTCTGATTAAACCATTATTCTCACCTTCTTCAATGTAAATATGCTTACATATACTTCCAATAATAGAGTAAAATAATAAATGCAATAATAACAATAATAGAGTAAAACAATAAATGTAATAATAACAATAATAAAGTAAAATAATAAATGTAATAA